GTACGCGTCAGTCTTTCGGTGACCATGGGCTCACCAAAATAACTTTTTTTCAGCGGTTGAGCACCAACAACGTCGCAGATGAGGCTGAACCAGCTACGGCTCAGATGTACTCCTCCAACGCGAGGGTTCATCCTGTGATGACGGTGGACCTGTTACGGCTTTTCGTCAGAGTATGGTAAGCGAATTTTTTTAAAATTATTTGCTTTCAATAATGGTCCTTTCAGCGCTTGAGCAGCAACGAGGTTGCTGGTGACGTTGAACTAACTACTGCTAAAATAAGCTCATCCAGCGAAAGTGTTCGTGCATCCCATGTCGACGAATGTCTTACGGCTTCTCGCCAGAGTTTGGTACGCTCCACTGTTTTCTAAATTTGAACATTGCTGCGTTACTGGGGAGGGAGCTTTTCAAAGTGATGTAATGCGCCACGATATGCAGCCCTTTGCTCACCTTTCTCTGCCTTCCGAGAAGCATCGGCGGAAAATTCTTCAAAATATATTTTGTCCATGTTTACCTCTCACCTGCTGAAAAGGATTAATGACGCGCAGCGCAAGAAGGTGCCTGCCAGATAGAAATTTATGTCAATAGCAAAGGAACGCGATCGTGGTGTATGTACGTACACCTCAGTTACTGTCATCAAATATACGCTACAGGAAAATCAAGGCAAATAAAAACAACTCCTTCATAGGGAGCGTGCGAGTAAATACAAAAAAAATAACAAAAAAAATGAAAGCTGAAAGAATATTTGTCCCAAATGCGATCACAGGGCTCCAGCTCTCATTGAAGGGTCGTCCCTATGAAGGAGCTGTTCGCGGTGCCATCGCAGCGCTAAATCGCTCGCACGACCACAGACTAGAGTGCGTCCATACGAAAGGAAAGTCTGAACGCATTCTTTCCCTTGTTGATTTTCTGCTCTTGTGTGTGCTCTCTCGCCTGGACGGTGTTGGGAGATCACTGCGACAGGGATGCTCGGGCGGCCGCTGCCATCTTTCTGTCTACGCTCTAGCTTTTCGTTGCAGGACCACGGAAACAGAGTCACGCGACCTTGAACGTGCGCGCACTAGTCAGAGTTGGCGAACATATTCGTCAGTGTCTGTGATGAATGTGATTCTCTGAAGTGCCTCAAAAGCAATCTGTCTTTATTCATGTTTGTTTCCGAATGAGTATTCCTCCACAAGCAGAGGAGGGGAAGGGGGAAGTGCCCGCCTGTGTACCAAGACAGCCCGCTGCCATTTTAAAGGAGACACTCTAGAGCAAGTTGGCATTGTGTGTATTCATGTAACACAAAACGACTGGTTTTACCACTCTCCACTGGCATTCAGTATCGGCTACATCCTTTGGCGGGTCCTCTGACGTGCAGTAAATCCTGCCAGCGAACTGCAGGTAAACATTGGCTGTAGCTAAGTGCCTAATTGTTGTAGCTGGAAACAACGTTGGGATTATTACGAGTATTCGTTGAAGAGGCCAAGATCGCTGCTTTTGCATCATTTGGCGCGCGTTTCTTATTGGCCTGAATAACTTACACTTGGTTCATAGGTGTTCAGCTAGTCTATTAGTAGCGGCGTTTACAAAGAATTAAACCAAGTTCGGTGACCATCGAAGGTAACGCTGACCTACAGCTCATTTCTCGCTATAGCGTTCTTCACACCCTTCAACACCATGGAACCAGGAATCCCAAAAAAATGCGTGATGACAAGCAGGATTGGGTAACTGGGGGAAGGGGGGGGGGGCGGGGGGAGGATGCGGAACTTGTAAAACCCTCAGAATGAAAAAAGGTCGACTGAAGAATGTGAAATCTTCGGACTGCTGATTCTGCATTCATTACTTCAGAATGTCTTCATACTTTGCGTCAGCTTTTCGAGCGTTTTGAGCCACTAAGAAAGTATAGTTATCGATTACCGCGAACGCTAATGGACGCTGAGGACGTTGCCGGGAGAGTGCGCGAATTTGATGCGGAAATCGTGAGGATGCCCATCCCGATTCACGGGTTCGTCTGCTCCCCTTCTATCCATATCTATGCTCACACTTTTCAATACTCACATTTCTATGTGCGCATTTTCCCGATTCGTGCTTTCTGCCAAGGATTCCCAGTGCCATTTTGAAAGGCGCCCCGCAGTGTGAGCGGAGATGAGAGCGGCCACCCAAACGAATCGATACGTGTAAGCTGGCCTTTTCTTGGTTTCGCGAGACGTCGCTGACTATGAACTACAGCTAGATCGAAAAGTTAAATAGTAGAGTTTGTGTCCCAAGTCGCTCACGTATACCGAAATGGTTGCGCCAGCACGATTCTAAGGCTTTTTTCATGACAGAGGTTTTGGTTTTCAGCAGATTTGGTTTTGCCTTTAGGCTTAGGGGGGGGTGGTTCTTCTTTGTAATAGTATTCATTTCTTCTCCGATAATAAAATGTGTACGGGATTGGCCCTATGATTCCTTTATGATGCAAGTGTAGCAGCTAGTCGTAATATGGTAATTGACGTGTGTCGCTTTCCTTCGCGCACAGAAGTGGATGTTAGCTTTTGTTCAGGCAGGCGACTCTTCTTCATCTGCATCGGCATCTCATTGCAGTACCGGTTTTTTTTTTTGATATCGTTCATGTTTCTCTCGGGAAACCACTGAAACAGAGACTGTTAAGAAACTTGCTCGCGAACTTGACAACGAACACAATCCACAAATGTACCAGTCGAATTTGGGTAGCGAAGTGGTTGTTGAGGTAAGGATGATCTTTAATGACCTTTATGGTCTATATGCCTTTTGCATTGTTTAATCCTCAGTTTAGGAACAGATAGTTAGTTTCGAGTTTCCGGTGTAGTTTCGGACAAAATGTGCCTCCGGAGTTAGCTTGATCACCCGAGCATGGATACGACGTTCGTTTGGCGCGAAAACATTGGGGGTCGGCTACGCGACAACTTGAATGGTTGTGCGTGGTCCTCTTGCGAATTGAGATTTCAAAGGTTAGGCCGCGTCTAAACTCGGTAGAGTAATAGATAGAATCGAGGACGCGAGAATACATCATACAGAATACACACAGAATATCGATAGTAAAGGGCAGTATCTATATCGATCTGGCGCCTTGGGGGAATGGGAGAATCGCTGAATCGATGTTTTGAGATATGCGCTAAGGAAGTAGATGCCGATCAAATCTGTATTCTCCCAAAACGCAGGATGCCGGTGTCGTTCGTTAGCCACCCACTCTCGTGGCTCCCATTTTCCTGAAATTTTGATTCCGCGATTCTCCGTTCTACTGTTCTCCTAGTACGCTAGATCGCCAATCATGCTCTAATTTAATTTTACCTTCTTTTTTCTGTTCTTCTGCTTTCCTATCCCCTAATCTACTGTTCCCCGTAGTCGCAGAGCGTGGACGCAGTTTTGGAGTGATCATGGAGAAGAGAGGGTGCAGAGAACACAAGAAAACTGACGCGATTCTTGAGGAATAGTGTCCAGAAAGTCTGCAGACCGTGCTCAGGATGCCGGACAATCGTAGCCAGGATATGACTAAATTTACTCCGGGGAAATTTGCTATCAAGAACGGCCTGCATTCCGAAAAAATTTTGCTGCGTTTCGAAGAAGTGTGAATGTTCAAACACCAGAAGGAATAGTGCCAAACTTTGCTGGTGCATTTTGGCGACGGGGAAGCATTTTTCACTTTTGCTACTTCCCATTGTCGGGTCGGGCCATCAAGTAGGCGCTTATGAAATGTTTTGAAGCAATGATGTGATACCAGCCAGAGTTTGTAGAAGCTACTCGTAAGAATACCCTTCAGCTGTTGTAAAGCAACAACCATGAGATACAGCTGGAGCGGAATGCCTTCCACCCCCCCCCCCTTCCGCACTGTGTTTTCCGAGATTAAAGGCATCGTGTGTGGTTACAGAGATCGGATGCAGACGCACCAAAGCCAGCTGTCAGACGTTCGTTGCAGTCACTTCCACTGGCCTGTCGTTCACGCGCATCGTCTCAGAGTAGTGTGCATGGTTTCGAGACCGGAAGTGGTGGATTGTGGTACCATTTCTCGGTACGAATTGACATTTCTGTTTTGTAAGGAAGTAGAGTACCGCGAAAAAATCACTAAAACTAAAGAGGATTTCATTTATAGTGTAGTTCGCTGCGGACGGTTGGGCGTGTCAGGCGGGATGAGTTTGGCGCGGTGCCAAACCCGTTCTCCACCAGTTGTTAAAGCGAGCAAATGATATGACTGTATCATATCGTTCGTATTACTCGTTTTCTACCACTTTTTGTCGCATGCGCGCTTCAACAAGAAGGCAGAGAACGGCTTTGACGGGTGACACACTCATACTGCCTGACACGCCCAACCGTCCGCAGCGAACTAGAATATACTTTGCAGTTTTATGCGAAAATTCTTAAGGCTGCTCAGTCTGCGTTAAACTTTATCGGTTCTAGAGTTCTGATCAAAATCGAAGTTTGTCAGTCAACAGGAGAAGGACTGCTCGTGCGTCAACTGAAGCAGCTGACAGTGCCCCACGAGCAACATCTCTCATCTCTGACAATAAGGTAATTCATTGAATGGGCCATCAACGGAAGGGTTTTGGCTAAATTTTTCAATTTATTTGACATGGTAATATACAGTGTGGCCCTCAAATTGTATGTGAATTGAGCATTCTTTGCAATTTCTTCAAGACATCGCAGCGCAGCCGTTCATCATCAAGAACACGGCAGAACGAAGTGCATTTTTCTTCGATTCCTCAGCTTCACAGTCATCCAGATGACCGGTTTGATGGCGGCACAAGTGGAGAGGTGGGTGTCATTACATGGGCGACGTGTAGTTTCTGGGCATTTCCTCATTTTCAAGTGTTTTGTTCTGTGATAGTTCTGCAAAAGATTTTCTTTACGTTCTTACCTTCGGTTTTGGAACCATTTATGGCAGTACTTTCGATCAATTTCATCGGTTGATTGCTTCTTCTGTGCTCCAGAAAGTGTGTTTAAGCCATTCCGACCAACTGCCGAGCATGAACGCACTCCTCAAGCCGTGAAAACTGGTTCATGCCTTGCTATGCCTAGTGTTGAGAGTGAAATCCAGCCAACTTTCCATAGAGTAAGAATTTTTTTCGATGACATCGTACTTCCATGACCACTGTAGTTTTCTATTAATGTTCCATTAATCTTCAGACAACCATGGATATGAATTCTCAGCTCCTGACAATACCAGTTCAAAGTGCTACGGAGTCAAATTATGAGAGTGATGTGAGTTCTTTTCAGGGAATATTGAGAGTAGTGCAATGAGAGAGGGGAGGTTAGTCTGTTAAATCCGAGAGAATGCGAGCGGGCGAAAGAGGCATTGCCAACGGGAAAATGCGACAAGACAATCGTAATTCACTGCGTCGGTGGACGTCGTGTGCGATGCCGCTCCCGCAGACGACCATCTTTGGAGGTCCGTAGCTGACAGAAAACTGGTGCTCCAGTCGACGGGCTAATCAAATTAAGAAAACTGCGCGCTTATCGCCGCGTGCGACGCAGCAACAAATGATTGTCTTGACCGTCCCGCACGAGTGGGGTCATTTGCAATAAGACCGACTTGATTCAACGTAGCATTGCGTGCTCTTCAGCCATTGAGGAAATCCTTTGCTATTTGAGTGCGATAGCGCTCTTTAGAGTTCTGCAATGGGTGGGGAGCTCAGCGGCGAGGCGTCTGGAGTACGGGAAGGGATATCGCGTTGCAGCTGGGCCGCTCAACTGAATTAGCGGTGTGACTATTTGTTTTTTTTTGTCCTGTAAATAATGACTTGTAACTGCTGTACTGATATTTGAATGATGTGAAGGATTGTGATTTTCAGATGGAACCACCAAGTCGAACCCCATCGCTCAAAAGCCTTGATATCAATCCTCTATCTGATGTCCCACCCGCTCTGGTGGTGACAGACGCTCTCACGGTTAGTTTTTATCCGTAATGATTGTCAATGCTTAAGCGTAACTATAAATCAAATTAATGAGATTCTTTTATGCTCGCCGATTGATGGTTTTTGTCGCTACCGTTGAAGCAATCTGCTGAGGCCCTCATAGTCACTTAGTCGTAACATTTAGGTTTCACTTCTTTATAAGGTTTTTTTTTACCCTCCCCTCTCCCTTCCTTAACAAGTGGATCGGTGGTTCAAATGTCGTGGGTGACGGCTGGAACTTCATCAACGTTCATTAACCTTCATGTGTCGGAAAATGTCGACCTCATCTAAAAAAACCCTGACTTTTGAAGAGCTTCATTAGAAAGCAGCGTTTTGACCCTATCACGCGCTTTGAGCGACTAGGAAAGTATTGGAATCGATCTATCGAACACCAGTGTACGGCAGCGTTCCGAGCGACCAAGAAAATAGAGAGTTCTATCTGCGATTGTTTGAGCGTTTCTCGGGTAGTCGCGGAAGATATTGCGTATGCTCAGAACGCTAGATGGAAACCTATATCTTAATCGCTGAAAACGCTGTCGTACGCACAAAACGCTAGATCGGTAACTTTACTTTACTTGTCGCTCAGGACGCTGACATGCGCTCGAGATGGTCAAAACGGTGACGCAAAGTATGAACACATTTTTAGTACAGCTTGGCCAATTTTCTACCTGCTGTGGTCAGCTTTTCCGCATTTATTCCTACCCGTTCTTGTTTTCGCTATGCTTATTTTAATCCTTCTTGCAATCAATTGATGTTTGTGATCGAGTTCAGTAATATAAAGCATGTTTTCAGCCAAAAAGAGCTCCAACTGATTTTGGAGATCAAGAGGATTACAACTCGCCGGCTGGTCTGAACAGGACTCACTTTTCGCGACCATCTTACCAAAGACGACGATTCAAAGAGGTGCTCGTGAGGCCGGCTTTATATGGTTGACTAAGAAATGAGCTGGTAACGCGTATTTATACACTAGGATACTGCATTGAGAAGCGCTCCCTGGAAAAAGTGGCTGCCAATCCCCGCGAGCGTGGGACTTCTGTAGAGACTGAAAGGAAGACTGGATCTCTTTTCTTTCACCGATGGCGACAATAGTTTTTTTTTCTTTTCAAAGCGCGAAAGGATTTCCACTAGTCGTTCGTATGGGGATATTGCGGTTTTAGATTAGCTAGGCTACTGGACTACATTAAATTGAACGCGCTTTTTGTGAAAGGCAGAAGCTCGGAACTTGGAGATTTAATGTTTACGAAGCTCGACAATCACGATACATATCTTTGAATCATAGACGATGTCGGGATTACTCAAAGAATGGTCAAATCTTGCGCTATATTCTGGTACACGGGTTTAAAAAACGGCTTTAAGGTTCTTATGGATATGAGGGAGGGGGTAGGGCGCTTGAAGAAGAAGCGATTCCTTTGAAGCATTTCACACGCCGCCTAGAGAGCGATAAAAATCACTAGGCTGGTAGGCTCATCGGTTAATTTAGCCAGTGGATTAGTTTTGTAATTTTTCTTTGTTGTATAAATTTTTTATATAGTTTCTTCCACTGTTCTTCCGAGTTGATTACTCGCTGTACCTCTCAGAGTTTATAACTGGTTCAGCTTATTGTTTCACTGAAGAAATCTGCTAGAAAACTCAGCTCACTTCGGCTTGAAAGGGGGACGGAAAAGGTACTCGGCGGCCCCAGTACAGGTTTTCTTGTGAAGGCTATAATTTTCGTACCAAAGTGGTCTACTTGAACCATTTCGCAGCTTTTAACGAGTTTATAGGTTTCACCAAAGTGAAACCTTTGGTTAACATGAACTAGCAATTCAGAGTAACGAAAGTGCGAAATGCCCCCTCCCAAGCCGAAGTGGGCTGAACACACTCCCTGCGAGACCGCGTTATCTATTTTGCAGAAATGTGCCAATTTGGCGGTATTCGCCATCCTGGCCTTCTATTGTTCGCAACATGTGACACCCAGTACGCGATCGCGTTGAAATTTGCGTGGGTGTTCGATGTGTGTGGCGGTGTTTATAGTCTGCGACGGTGGGAGTCCAGAGAAAAGGGAAAATCGGCGAATAAAATGGGACCTAGGCGCGAACTGGCTTCTACCTGTGATAAGCCGGGTGCAATTCGCTGATTCTCCAGTTGGCTCCAGTCAACTGGAGAATAAGAGAATAGCACCCGGCACATCACAGATAGAAGAAACTAATATGTGCTCATTCCATTCAGCATATTAAAGACTGGCTCCTCGAGTCTTCTGCTGCCGGAAATTCCGTGTTCACTTGCGTGAAGTTGTACCGTTTCCTGATTCTCCACTGTCGCAAAGTATGAACAAGACTTATGAGCGGCTAATGTAGCCATATCGCGACCGCATGTTGTGTTGCCACATGTTGCGCATGCCATCCTCTCCCAACAGAATGCCAATACTCGTATGAATTTCAGCCGGAGCTCTCAGAAATCGGAGTTCAAACTGGTGAGACAATTCGACTACGCCAAGCCATGTCTTTTGAGCAAGGTTAGCCTTCTTCCAGTTTTCTTCAAAGGTATTTGTTTTATCGCGTGCTGGTCAAATGTCTTAAGTGGCGTAATCTCTGATTAGATCCGAGTAACTGTAGCCAATGCGAGCCCCCTCCCTCCTCAAATCTTCAATAAGATCACCCCACCTCCCTCCCAAGCGGAGTGAGTCCAGAACTGGGATGTTCACTAGGAACAATGGTCTCTACTCGTGCAACCAGGTCATTCGTAGTCGCTTTTTTTACTGCAACTGCTGAAATGAGGCGGAGGTGGTGTAGTGGCAAGTGGCACGCTTAGCACGCGCGCGGTGCGGATCAAATATCGCTACCGCCCATGCCAACTGACCCCTCCACGAATGTGAACTAGTACCAGCTTTGAGAGGATTTGAACACAGATTTATACATCGACTGACCCAAATCGTTCTATAGTCCACATCACACATCAAAAAGGGATTGATTGACAGCGAAGACTTCATCCTTCTGTTCTTTATTTGTTAAAATGTTATCAGTTCAGGACCAACGACTGTTTTCGAAGGAGCAACGAAGGATCGGTTGGCGCCCTTTGGTCAGACAGCCACAAACATGTCTTTCGAGCGTTTTGCGAACAACTCATTTGAGAAAAGAGGGGTATGTTCACAGATTATACAGGTCGTCATGAAAGTAACAGAGAAAATTCGTTTCTGGCTTGACTTCAATCTGCAGGTCTTATTTCTCTGAATATCACCAATCAGTGCTAATTTTCCCAGATTTCTTCTAGTTCGGTATAGTAAAATATTCTTCGCTGCGGATCGTGTCAGGCAGGGTGGGTATGGCGCGGCGCTAGGCCCGTTCTCCACCAATTATAGTGAAGCGTGTGGGCGACAACTGGTGGAAAACGACTGACACGGACGATATGATACAGTCTTGTCATTTGCTCGCTTCAACAACTGACGGAAAACGTGTTTGGCGCCGATTCCTTCCAACCTGACACGCCCCTTAATCCGCAGCGAACGGGACTGTATTTTTGGCTTTGCTTCAGTTCTTAGGTAGTTCTTCAACATGTAGAGGTGCATCGGCTAGAGTATTATGAAATCATCTGTGATGATATTCAATCCTTTCTAATGATGAAACCCGAGCAATAAGTATTTTATAATCTGGAGTTGCTTTCACCACAAGCGTATGTATGGTGGCCCGACATGGCAGATGACAGGCCTCCAGGTGTAATTCCATGCACCCGGGTCGTGGTTACGGTAGCGAGAGGGCCTCCACAAATGGTGTCACGTGCGAGCCATTTGCTTCACGAACCAAGTGAATCAACACAGTAATGCAGTGCTGCGGTCTGTCTCAACTAAATAGGAAGTTCTCTGCTATGTAAAGGGCCGCCCCGATATGGTGAACTACATCCCAAACTTAGGGTTGCTCTTGCGAGGGGGGGGGGCTGAAATTTGGATTGTTTGAGGATCCACTTCTCACTATCCATTCTCTATGTGAATACATTTCATGTTCTTTCAGCATCCTGCTCCAGCAGTGCTTACGGCGATGCTTCAGCAGCGGCAAAACCAGGCAGCGCGCAATAGCGTGGAAAGTTCATATCCACGCGAAACAGCATCCAACTCTTCCCAAGAAAAGCAAATTCCTGGTGGCGAGAAACCCACTCAACAGGTAATGAGGTCTCTTTTTTCAATCACAGTAAACGGTCTTGTTCGCTGCGGATGAGGAGCGTATCAAGAGGGATGGTCTCGTTTTTAAACATTTGTTGAAACCAGCAAGCGACAATACTGACAGCCAAAATTTCGTTATATATTGGCTTTAGCAGTGGGTATGGCGCCGATAAGAACTTTGAAGATATATTCAGTTCCTTAGGCATGGTGCAGCACTCGTTCGTACAGAATTATTAGGCGATTCTTCATGCTCTAGTTGTCATATGTACTTTCGTACCAGGAGAACATAAAACAATCAAGGGGGAACTGGAACTATTATCAGCTAGATAGTATCCTAAGTCATTGATTCTTCCCCAAAAATTTGAGCTGTAATCTTTTTACCTATTTCTTGAAGCACGGTCCGCGATCAGGTATTGAAGTTGAAAATATGGCGTCAGGAGGTTAGAGTGGTCCGCGACGAACAACCTTGTACCGGTTTCGCGGCAAAAAATTCTATGGGAGGGGCGCTGTAGCGCAATATAGGTTCACTCTTTTTTCGATCGTAGAAATCTTATCCGGGTGAATCAGCCTGTGCATATTGAGTGGCCGGTAGTTTTGGAGATAGAGTTGTTGATTGGGCACGTACAAACTGAAATGGGGTTCTATCTAGGGCAGGTGGCATGTTTTTTGTGCTTTTTTTGTTCACAGTCGAGTTACTCAACCCCTTGTCTATATGGAACCCCCTAATCCACCATCTGAGATGGCGAGTAATCGCGGGTTCTTCCTTTAATGATCAATTAGAAAAAAAAACCGCGCTGATCGCAAGCTCTCGCCAATGGAAAAACGCCGCGATACCTAATGGTTTGAAAGATTCCTCGTACAAAACTTGGAAGCGTGGATCATCCTCATTATGTGATTGCTGTGCTTCAATCTGGTTCACACTCCCAGCAGTTCCTTCCATCTTGTGGCCTAGGCCAAAGTCCTCGTCACTGATGTGATGATCCAAGTTTTGCGCAAGTCGTTTCTTGAATGCTCCATCCCCAAGGCTATAAGCGCCAGTTGAGCTACTGAGGAAGTAATATGGGGGAACTAATGGGGTGCCTCAAGAAATCATAGACGTTTTTGCATCATTATGAAACCTCATTGCGGGCTTCGGCCGAGAACGGAACGCCCTCTCACACAACACACTTCTCACACGCCTGTGACCTCACACGTAGGGCTAGGTGTAGCGCTTGACCTCTAGCTAAAAGGTATGCGCCGCTGATAACGAGTGCGATGTGATGTCTGCTATGGTGTTATTTTAGTGTCGTAATTACTATTTAGATGACCAGAGAGGAACGGAGGCGATCATTTATCGATAATCAACATCACTCGTATGAAACCAGAACTCATCAAGAATGGAGAAGTAGTACTAGGAGTCAGTGGGAAGAGGGGAAGGTTGGTCGCGTGATTTTTGCATTTTTGAATGTTCCGTCTTCTTGTTCTTGTTTTTATTCTTTTCCTTTCGATTTTCACACTTAATTTTTCTGTGTTTCGTATCTGTATAGCGTTCATCAGCTCTTTTTTATTTCTTAGTTTTGAGTGTTCCTCTGATGAGTACCAAGGTCCAAGCGCTTTGGTGAAATCCTAATTATTTTCAAAGCAGCACTACTTCATATGTCTCTCTTACCTATTTCAGCTTGACGAAAACTTCAACGAGTTGCGAAGTACTGACTGGGAAAACAAGGACACTGTGCCAGACGGTGTGCAACAACAAATGGACAAACTTCATTATACTAGACTGTCAGACCAAGTGTTCGAGGAGCGCGAGGTGCTTGTGGAGCGCAATGAGTACTATGACGGATCACAACCGGCTCGGAGCTACATGATTCAGCAAACGCAAAAAGTTAGCATTGGCGGAGAAAAGCCTGGTCAACTGCCTGTCATTATGTCGCAGAAGCCGGAAAGTATTCGGAAAAGTCAGAATTCAGAGAAGGTACCAGGGAAAGGAGAAGAGCTGAGTAAACCATTCCATCCAACAGTAATAACCAGAGAAACGGTGGAGCAGCTGAGGCAGTCGGTGAGATTATTTGCTCGTTGTACTCAACACTTTGTTTGGATCCAGTTGAAAGACACTATTGTACGACATCTCAGTAGGGATCCCTTCGCAAAGTGGGTAAGTTCGCAGGGAAGACGGTCAAGACAATCGTAATTTGCCGTTTTGGCGCGCGATGCGTTTCCTTTTCCTTGACTGTTGATTGGAGCACTGGTTCCAAGTAACTACAAAATCGTTAACATTTATGACTAATTTTGTTACACATTGTCTTTGTCGCCAGGCAATACCAAGAAACATGATCGATTGCGCGCGCGACGTCGTAAGCGACACCCATCGACGCTGTGTTACGATTGTCTTCTCACATCGGTCCACCTATAGGTGCAGCCATTCAGAAGTGCGAGGTTGTTGAGCAGAGAGAATCGTGGCAGCTTGATGACAGCACTTTATTCTAGGGTAGCATCGTGCTATATACAACGGTGCTAACAGAATGACTCCCAAGGTTCCTTATTTGGTGCGATTCCCCTTCCCTGTCCAATCTAACATATTCCTAAGTTTATCTAACTGCGCACCAGTTTTCCAAAAATTTTTCCGGTGTTTCCGCCGTCGATGGCGGCGGGGGGAGGGGT